AATAACTGCTTATGTTTAAAAGAAGAGAAAATGTCCTAAAATTATTAAAATCTATTTCTTCAAAATTTGATGGCAAACGGCATTTGATGTGCCAAAAGCCAAATATAACTAGAACATCAAAACTACAAAGAACTGCTCTTGTTTGAAAGGGTGTCCGGCTAAAAATCATGCCAATTACATAACTAAAAATAACACATCATGGTGAAGAGAATAATTAATGCAGTGGCGTCCCGTAACCTCACTTTTACCTATGCACCAACTTTCAAAACCAGATTTAATACCATATTCATACTCGAATCGATAGAAAAATATACTTGATCTTCTAGTTTACTCGATATCTATCCATTGCAAGCAATATTTTGATAATTGTTTAGGTTTTGAGAGTTGGTGCACAGGTAGATTGAGGTTAAGGAAAAGCCACTGAATTAATGTATCGAAAATATAATATTTCTGTTTTAAACGATATAAAATTTTGAAAAATTTCCTATCATCATAATCTAATAAAATCAGAATTGTGGAAGGTAAAAAAATAAAAATACCTGAATCGTAAAATTCTACTAATATTGTGATCTGGGAACTTAAAATGACTCTGAAACAAGAGTTTTGAAATACTCAGGAATCTAGCAGTGTTTGAAATTTAAAAAATCTATTTTCAAGTGTTCGACCAAACGATCCATTCGGCCAAATGGCATTCGGTCAAATGACCGGACACCAACTCGATATAAAAGGGATCATCGAGTTATAGCACTCATGATAAAGGTACGACATAATAGCCAAATAATAATGAGTGATCATTAATAGCTAAAAGCAACAAGTAGTATTGGGCGATCTTGTCAAAAGAATCGATTCACCGACACCTTTTTTGAATGGAACTTTTCGAATCGAATAATTTGTTTTCAAATTGACGAAAAAAAATATGCAAATACAACATTGATCTTTAAACCTTTAAAAACAGCTTAGAGCACCCGCACCAATGCGTTGCTATTCGGGCTGCTAGTTTGACAACTTTAGCCATTGCTATTTTAGTTAGCAACTTGTTTACGCACCGGTCGTTCCTAGCGCGATTGTGAATTTACGTTTTCGGCTTTCGCACCGATAGTTGCTAAACTTATCGTCAAATTTCGAACTAAAATTGATCACAGAGTTTCGTGATTGTTTTTTTCCGACAATATTGATATACCTAACCACGAATACTGAAAATTGGTTAAGATCCAATTACAGACCCAGGTACCCAAGAAACGGTCCTCCGGAAGATCCGAATAGACCAGCGATTTTTTTATCACTTGTTGTGATGCTATATGAATGAATTTGAATCTGGGACCAGCATGCACACACACTGGTGGTCACGAAACTGTCCTCCGGGAGATTTGGAACATCCATGAAAGTGGTCAATTCGTAAAAATGATCGAATTATCGATCTTCGTATGCTCATCTTATAAAAGTTGCGCACCAAAATGCTGCCGGGTGCCCATCTGGCTAACTAGATTAAATATTTTCGCTTGTGAATATATCAAGCTCGGTTGGTCGAATTTAATACGGTAGATCTATTAACACCAGAAACAAAAAAATGAAACCTTTAAGAAGTTCTGATTGATAGAAATGTGGGTAAGTTAGAAGATCATTAGTAGTAAGATTCGAAAGCTCCAGCGCAATCTAATAGATTTCAGTAAAATTTTCTTCAGCGAAGATCAAGAGCTTCAGGGCAGTTCCATTAAATTCAGGAAAATTTAAGCTTAATTACCTATGAGTAAGTTACGTGAACTTCGGGTAAGTTCTGAAAATGTTAGGGCAGTTCCATGAACATCAGGAAAACTGTGAGAACTTGAGGGACGTTCCTTTATGGCAGTTCCATTTATTTCAGTAAAATAGAGGAAACCATCAAGAAGTTTCGAAAATTTAAGGAAAGTAAAAAAAACTTCAGAGAATGAACTTAAAACGTTAAGAAAGCTACACAGAAGATCTATGTTTAAAGGAAAGTTTAAAGATCTTCTGGGCAGTTCCATTAATTTCAGCAAGCTTCAGGAAACAATCGAGATCTTCAGGAGAGTCTGAGGAATGAAAAGAAGTACTGAGAATTTCAGGAAGTATTATAGGCAAACCACGGGAACAAAGGGGAAGTTCCGAAAACTTCTGGAAATTTTGGTGAACTTCAGGCAAATTTCAGGATTTTTAAAGTGGTTCCAAAAACTTCAGGAAACTGCAGGAACTTTTAAGAACATTTGATAAATTCAGGGATATCCAGCGAACTTTAGAGAATTCAAAATAATTTCAGAGATGTGGAGAGGTAACTTGAGGAAAATTGACATTTTAACACTCCGAACACGATGCCTCCGGTAAAATGTGTAACGGAAAATTGGCAATGATGGCGATTGAGCCTGTACAAATAAAGTAATGATTAAAAAAAAAATATGGAGACTCCCAGTTTAAAAACAACAAGGGACAGCCCTATGGGGTTGTACGCAATGGAGACGTAGGACTACGTGGTCTTCTATAATAAATGTTATTTGTTAACTACAGCAGGAGCTTGTGTTTTGTGTAGGAATAGGAATTTGAGCGGGATTCTCTCTGTTTATAATCTTTAGTATGACTATGATTGCCCTGAAAAGAACCTTTTGATATGAATTTTAGTTGAGACATGTTCAGAGATATAACTCTTTTAGAAAATCTTTGTGACCCTGAAAAGGGCCGATGGTAGTGCAGGCTTAAAGCCTTTGGAAGATGATGATAACGTGTAGGCAGCTGGATCAGGAAATCGGACCGGACAATCCCATATTCTTCGGTTCAATGATTGCACACTTGCAAGATTCTCGGCCCGTCTGCTACTAAACAGGGGTTGAACTGGTGTCTGCCGACAGGTTGGAAGGACGCAGTGAAGGATATCTTAACGACGAATGGGCACTTGGAAGAATCTCGGCTCAGCTACCGTTGGACACGGATTTAACCGGTTGTTGGAAAGGCGCAGCGAAGGACACCTCAACTTAGGTACGAGTTTGCTTCCAAGTTTGGATACAAGATTACAACTCTGGAGAGCATTTTGTGTGGTCTTTGGGGGCGTGTGGTTCTGAATATGGCGATGAGTGTGCAAAATGTTACGTAATTGCATCCACCCTATTCGCACACGCCCGAAGATCGGAGGCGAATGCCATTTCGACTTTCGTCTACTAACGACTCTCTGATGACAGTGTTGGGGAAGCAGCATATGCATTTATGTAATTGATAGATTTGTTAGTTATTTCGACGCTTTTCGACAATGCTTGACATTTACCACTTTTTCAATAGTCGGAAGCATTGTTATGATGCGTAGAAATATTTCTGTTCGATTGGTGATAAAATTATTGAAATGGGTCCAGGGGCAGCTGAGTTATTCGCGTTCAAAATCTTGCTTAATTTGTTACATGTTCCATTTCCGGTTTTCAGAAAGTGTACCCCCATATAGAAATCAAAGACGTAGTCCTACGTCAAAAAGACACATATTCAACAATATGGGTATTTTCGGAACGTGGACGACGAACGGGGGCCGGAAATCGATGCTTAACGCCATTTATGGATCCAAGATTTCCAAGGGCCCAACAATCAATGTTCTATGTTATTTTGAAATCCAATTGTTTGTATACTGAGATAATTCAAATGGGACAGCACCACAAAAAATCTCGCTAATAAGCGACGTTTTCGGGTTGCGATTTGTTTAAAAATATCGAATACGCCATTTTGAAATGGTTTGTGAAATTCAAAATGGCCGAATGAGAATAATTGACCATAACAAAAAATTATGCAAAATGTCATGCAAATCGAAGGCGGTCGAGTCAGAAATTCATTTTTTGCCTAGGCCTGAAAATACTTCATGGTAATTGCCATATAAACTTAAAAGGGCCAGTGCAGTATGAGATCGGAACCAAATTTAGGGAGAATGATCAGAGAAAATCGATATTTTGAACCACCCTATTAATTACACACACGTTACAGGTGTGACCGTTTGATTGAACCCCTTTTGTTGCTGGTTGTTCTACTCAATGGGTGGAACTAAATTGCCGACAGTTGAAAATCACAGTCCCATTCATCGTCAATCAACAATCATCGCCATGTTTACCATTATGCAAATTGGGAATCCGAACCGTACCGCAAACAAACGAAAAGTCCAATATGGTTTTTTAACGGCAATTGAAATAAATTGGTGACCTTAACGCGCGACGTCCAACACTTTCAGCCGATACTTTTGACGCTTTTGTTTTATTTTTTTCCAATTTTCAACCGCTTCGACGACGACGGCCACAACGACGGCGCGTATCATATTTCGCGTTTTAATTAAATTTTCATTTGGAGTTTAATTTCATATAGCTTTTTTATGTTTAATTTGTTGTTTGGTTTACTTTTTTTCTGTTTTACTTTCTTTTTTCGAATGTACGCTTTCACTTCAATCTCATTAAAATGTACAAAATGCATGAGTTGCTCAGATCGCTTTTTAAATTTAATTAATTGTATCGTGAGTGTTGTTTTTGTTTTCTTTAATTAATTTGTTCCCCGCGTTGTAAGTGTGTGTGTGTGTGTATTTGTGTCAGTGTAAATGTGTGTCCATATCAGTGTGTGTAAGTATATGAAAGTATGCAATGTTATGCTTGTTTATTTCCCTAGAAGGTATAAAAAATCCATTCTCCCGTAGTTCGTTTTTTTTCTTTTTCTTCAGTTTTCGTTACAGTTACGTACTTTACTTTTGCAGCGTATTTTTTATCGGCCTATTCGATTCTCGGCGTAGAAATTTTGTTCTAACCGAACTTTGTTACGTTTTGTTTCGTTCACCAACACGCAACGGCACACAAATCGGGATGCGTTTTGGGTGAAACTATTTTCGCGCACTTTTTCTTTTTTTTTTTATTTGGTTTCTCGCTTAATTTTCTAGTAGTAGTTGCTGTTGTAATTTGGATTCATTATTAATTACCTACTTTCGCTGATTAGCTTTACTTGCTTACGGTAGTGGGAAAGGAACAAAACGAGCAAACACGAACCTATGCAGAGTGCGCCCGAGTATTTGGCGCAAACCGATGCCGTCACGTCGCTCGAGGCCGTTCGCTGGACGTCCACGTGGCTTTCGCCGATCTGGAAGGAGAAAAGGGGAATTATGATTTTAGTACACAACAAAATACCAAATTCAAATAATCCGACTGTAACCCAAAAAAGCAATTATTGATTAGAGCTAAACGCTCGTATTGACACAGACACAAATATGACCTGGTCAGTTCCCGGAACAGAACCGTTTGATGTGGCAAACATCGGAAAAATATTTATTCAAATACCACTCCAATACAGGAGAGGCTTCCACTGACTGCGATGCCTTGGAAATTCATCAAAACGATGGTATTGCCATAGCTCTGGCGTCAGAGTAGTATCCTGTCTCTATTATTCGATGCAAATATAGCAAACATTTATCCCTGGATTAACAACAGCTAACAGAGAGTTGGTACACAACAAATTGAATTGAAGTTTATTGCATTGATCCGTGCAATATAGATCACCCTGGGAGGCTTGGGTTAGATTATTTACATACAAATGGGAAATCTGCCCGTCCCGCTCCTGTACGTTTGGTAAATCTCTAAACAACATGCTGAACTGTATGTCACTACTGCGTCCGACCTATCCGTATCTGTTTCACTGGCTGATGATTGAACAGCTTAGATTTTGAAAGATTTAGAGCAAAGCCAGTTACATTTCCTGCTTAGCACCGAATTAGCAGCATACAAATCTGAAAATTCCTATCAATGTGAAAATGGCAATTGACTCAACAGGGTCGTATATTGGTCACAGGTACCTGGTAGCTGACTCGGCTGAACCCGGCACAGGTAATTGATAATAAATGGACCATTTGTATTTGCTTACTTGCCTACATCCGACCCGGCAAGCCGGAGTGTATTGTATATGTTTATGCAACAATATAATCTACACAGCTGCCATGCCCACAACTGATAATGGATGTCTCGTACCATCTCCTATATAGTTGTAACAACCCTGGTCCTGGTTCATAGTCACACGGGTGTTGTTGCGTTGTTTGCCTGGCTAAACGCAATCGGCTTTATGGACGACGTATCCTACTAAACACATATCATAACATTTTCCATTACCCGTTCCATAGGAGAGTCCAACTCCTCTGCTGCAAGCTCAACCCCATTGCATAGATCTCTAGTCCACCTCTTCTACGGCCGCATCATGAATGTAACTCCTTTTTCAAAGAATATATCCAGCACCCCTCCATGGGGAATCAGCAAGATAAATAATTGCTGATTTATCACCGCAGTAGCAAAGAGAGGTGAGTGGAGGTGGGCAGATTATTTGCATTTGTTGCAATATGGAGTGTGGTGAATAGGAAAGGAATGTTTGTGTGTGATAGAAATGGCATTATTTTTGCATGAAAATTGATACAAAATTACGAACGAATGATGGAAAATATCATGAACACATTAATTAACTGAGAAGCGTTCAATCAGAACAAATTGTAGGCAATTGTGGGAACAAAACTCATAGCGGTAGAGCATTGTTTAACTAGAAAGAGTTGCAGTAATCGTAGCTTATTAACTAAAGTATCGTACCAAACGCATAGTTGACTTGTTAACTCTGAAATCATGGATTTGTTTGATGTTTTCTGCTCGATAGGCCCAAAATGGGCGATTAGGCCAAAGTAGTTCTCTGCCCTATATCTCTTTGTCTGACCCGAAATGACGCTCGTATGAGCATCCCATTGTCACTCGTTACATTCAACTGCGCTAATCTAACGGTAATCAATTCATGCATTTTATTCGTAATGTAGCAACGATCGATTTAAACGCTATCAACTCTCCAGTCAAAAAATGTATTTTTAAAGATTTTCTCGTTTTTTGTACCAGAACTAGCTTTTGGGAATTTTGCTTTCTTAAGTACGCATGCGGCAATAGTCAACATAAGCGAGGACGGTAAAGGCACCGGAATACCTCTGCGAAGTAATCTAAAATATTCCAATGTTATTTTGAACGTTAACGGTCGTATTTCGTCTGTTATTGTAGGTTCGATGAACTATGTTAATCTTTATGCCCATTCAGGAAGCGGATATAAGAAAGAAAGAGATGTTTTATTCAATGAAGATATTCTCATTCACTTAGTTCACGGTAGTGAAAATGTCATAGTCGGTGACTTTAATTCTTTCTTAATGGCGATTATATGATAGGTTCAGTTGAAAACTTCTGTGGTGGTCTGAAAAATTTAGCTAATTCTCTTGGATTGAAGGATGTGGAAAAAACGATTCTAAAAAAACAAACCAACTTTACTTTTATAAGAGGTGCTTCAAACTCTCGGCTGGATCGCTTCTATGCATCTTTGAATTATATTAAAAACATTATAGGTATAAGAACAATTTCATTATCTTTTTCTGATCATCATAGTGTGATTTTAAAGCTCTCGATTCCCCAACAACGAGATGTGGTTTGCATAGGCCGAGGTTACTGGAAACTGAACCTACATTTTTTTTAATGAGGATTATGTTATGCAAGGATTTGAAGGATTGGTTAGTTGGCGCTCCTTTTATTTTGGCGCTATTTGTTGATATTGATGTTGTATTTGCTTCAGTGTATGGAGAACTAACACGAAATACATAAACACAATGGTAGCACAATTGCCGTCAGAGGGAAGGTTTAGAGCTGGATGATTTACGCAAGTTTATTCTCTCACGGAGACTCAATGACCCAAAGCTGATGAACCTGTTTTACCCACCATCTAGAGATCTTAAAATAAATTCTATAGCGTAGAAATATAGTGGCCCTGAAAAAGGCCATTTGGGATCCAAGAGATTTACATGTTGGTACTTTCGGGATGGCGTGCTTACACCATTGCACAGCAGTTGAAATATTGCAGGTGATCAATGTTGTAGTCAGCCTAACGGAACGACTGCAGTGGAACGTCCGAAAGATGGTGAAGCTACTCAGAGAGCCTTCGATGACCGCGTCTTTCAGGGTCCTACCAAATTTGTGGTGACCATCTCCGTATTGTACATTTCAATTGATTTAGCCCGAAAGCTCTTCACCTTTAGTGATTATGTCTGTAACAAGTAACGGTTTGATTTTACTTTACATTTTGCTTTTAAGGAAAGCATATTTGTTGATTTTAATTAGAAAACTTGATATTCTACCTACTTAACCTAGTTGCCTAACCTAACGTGGCAGAATCCGAATGATCTGTTGATTGGATCGCATGCAGCAATCTCTGAACCTTTTTTGGTACCAGTTCTCCGTAACGCAAGGTCTGAAGACCAGCCAGGTGGTGGACCTCAGAATTTCTAGTACGCGGTGGACTGTTGAGGATCATCCTCAGGATCTTGTTTTGGATCCTTTGTAGTTTGAGGTGATGAGAATGTGCGCAACTCTCCCAGATTGACAACCCGTACTCTATGAAGAGAAGGATTATTTGCGTGTAGACAGTAAGCTTGTTTTTCAGGGATAGAATGGATCTCCAGGCCTCGGTTTAGTTTTGAGGACTTTTATTAGTTTCCAAAAGGGTTTTGCACAATCTGGGAGGGAACGGCTGTATTGGCAAAATTATCATTTCTGAGTTTCACCATTTTGGCTTTGATAAGTTTGGTTAGCCGGTTGGAATGGGTCTTCAAGGTCGGCAGCCCAGTTCTCTGGTACTGCCTACGCATGGCGTTACGGAGTCTGATCAGGCTTTTAATATTCTGATCAAGGTTCAGAGAATTTCTCACCCGTCTGGAAGCTGGCACGTGTTGTTCGCGGGCTCGGGATACCGCCTCCTCGACGGCGCACAGAGATCTATCGATGTCATCAGTCGTTTCCAGTAGGGCGCCGAAATCGATGGCTTCGTCGACGACTTGTTGGAACCGATCCCAGTTTACCCGATGGTAATTCCTTGATTGTTCTTGATGGTGTTGGCAATGTCGTGCATCATGAGGAAGATGATCATTAGTTCCGCTGCGGTGAACTACGAACCATCGTTGATTTCTGGCTGGGGTAGGGACGGTCCAGTTTAGCCCAGGAGTTCTGGGGAGATCCTGCGGCTGTGAAGCAGCAGTCGTCTCTTGACCTGAGTTTGCAGCGACTCCGGCAGTTTGAACTTGAGCGGTGGCGGCCGCCGCAGCAGTAGCAGCGGTACGAGCAGCAGCCAATCGTTGATTGAGTGGCAGCGGTGGTAGCAGTGAAATCGGTCGTCGTGGTACCGGTGGGAAGTTCTGGTCATTAATTTCCGGCACTTTCTTGTGGGAGGGCTGATTTCTCGTCGAAGCTTTCTTCAGGATCTCAATGTGCTCGGTGCGGCTTCATCGAGTCTATCGCAGGCGTCGGTTTTTTGTTGTTTGCCACACTTGATGCAGCGGCTGACCATATGGCAATTCTTCGTTCCATGCCCGAACAGCAGGCAGTTCGAGCATTGGGTGACTCCACGGCTGACCGGCTTGTACCGCTCCCACTTCACCACAATGTTGAACAGGACGCAGATGCCCTGGAGGTCCATCAAAGTTGTTGAGTTCATCTCAAGGTGGACCAGGTATAGCTGGTCGCGGTACTTGACGGCTTTGTTGTGGCGGGCCATCTTGTGAATTTGGACCGGCTTTAGTCCATTAGCCAAGAGGACGCCTGTGTCCATGTCGTACAGTCTGTTTTAGACTTGCAGAATAACTAATTAGGCCCCTCCCTTTTGGAGTATTTTTCGTTAGAGCGTTCCTAGTTGCAAGTATATGGCAGCATTCACACCAAACCAAGACGTGCTCCGACCAGCATAGAATTGGATTGTTGTGAAAGAACAACTAGCGCTACTTGGCTCAAGTCAATGCCGACCGGATGACGGCGAGTCATGCTGCCTTTTGCGCGAAGCCTTTCCTCCAGTCGATGTGGGTACATTCGTTGTCGTCGTCTTCGTATTCGTTCCGAAAGGGTGCTGTTCCACTTATACGTCGTGTCCGACGATTATCTCCCATTCATTGGTGAAATGGTGAGCAATCAACCGAGCGGTGAGCGATGAACCGAGCGGTGAGCTCGCTCATGTGAGCATGCGCAATGTGTCGTGTGTTCGATTTGCGCTCTATCGTTACGTCTGTGTTTGGGATTTTTCGTTGCATGTCTGAATTT